ATAAGCAGTTAAAGATTTTTCCCTTCCACTCTACATAAGGAAACATGTTGTTCTTTATAAAATAATTAACACTTTCCCCCCTCCAAATATGATTTATAACAAATGCGGTCTGTTTAACAGAGCCCACCTGCGAGCATTCTAGGCTCAAAAATACAAGATTCTCACCTTCTCCCGTGGTCTTCATCGTGAATTACAAGATGTGGGTATTGTCCTTTACTTTTCCACATTTTGCCAGCTCTTCTTTTTTTGCACCTGTTTTCTGCTACTCCTCATGTTTTTAAAGTTCGGTTTCATCAGTGGTTCTCTCTCCCACAAATGAGTAATACAGCCCATACTGCCTCTTGAGTCTTGGTGCTTGGCTTGCCTTCTTAAGAAATAGATAATTGCCATATACCTAGTCAGACCATTTTTCATGCCAAAGAACACTTAACTGCTGGAAAGTGGGGTGAAACTGCACATTATATTTCCAGTAGGTGTTCTGCTGAAAAGTTTTCTACATAGTAGAAATATAGTATATTTCTATATACTATATCTATATAAATAAAAATGTAAATGTTCGTTTGTTCAAAATCTTAAATCTCCGAAAGTTCTTCACCAATTGCTTTGAAATTTTGACACAACGTTGCATTCGAATACGCGCGTGTTTTTATATACCTATATTATATAGATGTCACACCTGTGACAGGTAAAAACATGCTTTTTTTGGAAAAACAGCGCCATCTGTTGGACGTAAAAGCAACACACACTTTTACCAGACTGAGCCACAGAACGCGTGGCCGGGTACAGCTAGCATTGTATAAATATATACAATATATATAATATTATGTATTGTATACACACACATACATACATATATGCATACATACATACGCGCACAGACACACACACACACAGACACACACACACAGAGTATACATAGTAGGTATTCTGTAAAAAGGTTTTTGATTAGTGTGTGCTACCTGCTCTAACATATGCTGGTGAAACATGGACACTAACCTCACAATGGATACAAAACCTAAGAGTGGCGCAAAGAGCCACGGAAAGATACATGCTCGGCATTACAAGACAAGATAAAAAGGCCTGCAACTGGATTAGAGAACAAAACCAAAGTACACGGTATCATCACGAGAGGAAAAGAATTGAAATGGAAATGGGCTGGTCACATAGCAAGAAGCACCTGATGGCAGGTGGAGTAAGGCAGTCATAGAATGGATCCCACTTGATAAAAAGCTTCCATGAAAGAGATATCTAAAAAAAAAAAAAGATGGATTAACGACATCAGCAAAAGAAAATTCAGGACTGTATTGGTTGGAAACATGCAGAAGAGGCCTTCATCCTGCAGTGGATAGACCATGGCTAAAATGATTCTGTAGAATGAATTCTGTCATTTCATATGAATCCATATCCATCCAATCTGAATATGGATTAAAACTCTGGCAGGACAGGAGTGCTGTTTGTTTATTTATTATCTATTAATCACATTTTATGGCTGCCCAGCACAGAAGTGATTCTGGGCGGTACTCAGTAATCAATAAAACAACAAATATAAAGAACAATAATTATAAAAATATAAAAAGTTATATTAAAAATGAATGACGCTATAAAATGTATAAAATATACAATCACACACAGAGAGGAAAAAGATCAACCCCCAATGGAACGGTCTAAGAATGTCTACTGTTTCTTGGGACCCCAGGCCTGATGACATACAGTAACGAGGTCTTGAAGGACTTCTGAAATGATAACAGGGATGGCGATAACCTGGTGTGTGTGTGTGTGTGTGTGTGTGTGTGTGTGTGTGTGTGTGTGAGAGAGAGAGAGAGAGAGAGAGAGAATGTTCCATAGGGTGGGCAACATGGCAGAGAAAGATGTATACATCTGGATGTTTATATGTATTGATTTATATAGGATGTTTATCTACATACATACATTTATCTGTAAACATCTATATTTTCTAGAATGATTTCCTACACTGTTAACTCTAGAGTGGACTGTGCTACTCCTGAAGCAGCAGGAGTTGGGAATTGGGAGTTTCTAGACTTGCAGCTCTTGCTTGAACAGCAAATGGAAGCCATGGCCAGTGAAGCCCTAGCTCTACTTTGATTGGTGTACCAATTATGGTACTATCTGGACGAGGAGGCCTTGATGATACTCACTCATCTATTGTTATTGCAACCTACTGCCCTCTATACAGGGTTGTTTTTGAGATAGATAACTCATAGATACAACTGGTACAGAATGCAATGACCCAGCTGCTAGTAAGTAAAAGCCACTATTGTAACGTAATACCAATTTTTCATTTTTTAAAGAACAGAACAGAACAGAATAGCAATAGGATACTTTATTGGCCAAGTGTGATTGGACATACAAGGAATATGACTCCGGTGCATAAGCTCTTGGTGTACATTCAAAGCAACAGAGTAATAATAATCAAAATAATGATACCAATAAGATGAGGTAAAGATGAGAATAGTAATAATAATACAGCCATTTAACCTGGATCAATATAGTTAATATTAGTATATATTATTATATACTTATGATTAAGTATTCAGTAGAGTGATGCCACGAGGGGAAAAAACCTGTCCCTATGTCTAATTGTTTTGGCCTGGAATGCCCTGTAGTGGTGTCTTGAGGGGAAGAGTTGACAGTGACAGGGTGACTCTCTCCCAATGTCAAAAAGCGGGCTAAGCAGCAGTCATTGTTCTGGGATGGAAGTTTCAGTGGGATGAGCCTTCGTGGCGATGGCTGTTGGGAGAGGATCGCCCTGTCATTGTCCCTGCTGGTTCCTCTCCCCACCCAGGAGCTTTCTGGGTCCAGTGCAGCATGCCTAAGGAAAGGTCCTTCTCCCCAAGCCCAGGCATGATTGGCAGATTGCCAGCTCAGAGGCAAATAAAAGTCCCCAAGCTTGGAATGGTGTCTGTGTGTTTTCTGTATGTGTGGAACAATGACTCCCACTTAGCCTGCCTTTCACAGGGGTGGGGGAGGCGCTGGAAAGTGAGGTGAGGAAGCCTTTGGAGAAAGAATAACGGGAACTTTTGCCTCCCTTAAGCCAGGCCGGTTTTGGAAACCAGAGCAGAAGGCCCAGGCTTGTGGCGAGTTGTCCCCATGGCGAGTTGGCTGGGGGGAGCGAGGTGTCCCATGGTGAGGTGGCCGTGGTGAGTTGGCCGCAGAGAGTTGTCCCATTCTACTGAGAGAACTCATGTGCATTTGCAAGAATCGATTGTCTTTACATGTCACCTTTAGGATGATATGATCTTTGGCTTCTTTAAGTAAATCTACATCTTAGGTTTCCACAACCCATCAAACTACAAAATAACCTTAGGGCTAAGGATTCACATAAAATGCGAAGGTAAAATGTGACTGGCTAAGTTGTGTCTCAGTGCATTCAGCGAACCCTCTCAAGTCCTTCAAAAAAAAAGTGACAGGAATTGCAATATTGATAGATTTATGGAGCTCATGAATGTCAGCAAATGAGTTTATGCAGTGGCTCACCTCTTTCTTAGATCTCTCTTCAAAATGCAAGACTGAATGTGTTCTTTTGCATTCAGAGCATGTGCCTTACCATTTTGTCTGGCAAAAGCCCCACCTACTCAGAGGTTTGACACCACCTTGGATCAGGTTTCTCTGGATTGCCCTGTCTATCTTCGGAACTGATTCCAACCCTCTGCCTTAAGTACAGGTAGTCCTCCACTTATGACACAATTGAGCCCAAAATTTCTTTTGCTAAGCAGGACAGGTGGTAAAATGGGGCTAAACTCATTTAGCAAATGCCGCACTTAACAACAGAAAATTTGGGCTCAGTTGTGATCATAAGTCAAGGACCGCCTGTAATGGTCTTCCTCGTCCTTCCTTTAAATGCCTGGGAGTAAATCTGAGAGCTATGTCCTCACCTTCTAATGGTGAGATAAAGCTCTTCCCCTTAAGTAAAAGCAGGATTATCTTTCAATGAGGAAGCTGATCACAGCAAATAATATAACTTATCTACACAGATAGGCAAGAAAGTGCAAAGGGAAGACCTAAAGATGCATAAATTTGCTTCAGCCTATTCTTAATTTCTGATGGAACAGGTGAACCAATTCATAAACAGCTGAGGGAATACTGAGATTAGACTCAACGAAGTCTCTGTGAATTCCTCTTTATTAAGCTTTTCAGATACATGAATGCCTAAGGCAGGGGCGGGGGGGGCAGACTAATGGGTCAACCTTATACAGTGCCCATGGAACTCCATTTGGGAGTGTTTGTGAATTTCTTTTTCTTTTTGTGTCTTTATTTTAGAAGAATACTAAATTTGGGCAACATTGGTGCTTAATTGGTGTTATATATATTTTTTTAAAAAAATTAAAAATATCCCAAATCTGTGAGACCACAACATCTCAAGATTTTGGGTCTCTCATCGAAGCTCTTAAGGTTTGTCAGTTATTTTTCATTTTTGAATATTTTTTTTAATTTCTACAGGTAGTCCTCGACTTACAACAGTTCATTTAGTGGCCATTCAAAGTTACAACTGCACTGAATAAGGTGACATAGCAACTTCAGGTTCCATTTTGGCCTTTTTCCAAAGAGGGCTCTCCCTGTGGAGCACAAGAAAAGAAATGGTCCAGTGCAACTTTTGCCTCATACACCATATGGACACAGCTGACTTCCTGGTTTTGTCTTTTCAGCTTATATTTTCATTTCATTATACTTTAAGGAAAAAAAACTAAAGACCTATATGTGGATTCTGAAGCAATTTAGGTAAAGACTTGTTTTTTCTGATTCAAAAACAATTACTTTTTATTTCACAATTTTTGTGTTCTAATCCAACCATTAACCTCTGGGTGGTGCCCAATAAGCAAAAGCAGGAAAAGAAATGGGAAAAATGCATTCTGAGATCATTTTTAACAGAATAAACAACAGTTGCTCAACATTCATATTATGGGCCAAAGAATTATTCTTAAACTATGAGGGTTAAATGGACTGTATGGTTTCGGGAACAGAAATGAAACAGAACAACTTATTAATTTATACCAATCCAATTGTTTATTCATTCCTAACACATTATTCAAACAATCAAAATGATTTCTATAATTATGACAAAACAATGCCTATAAAGGTGGATACTGCCAGATGGAGAGACAGAAACCAAACTGATCATATTATTGGTGCAAGGAGGTGAACAGCTCAGTTATAATAGCAAAGATATGACCGTGGAACAGATCACAAACTGCTCATATACAAATTAAAGTCAACTCATTTCCATGATACAATCTTCAGCACATGACTATCATGTTCAAGGAGAAGTCCTGAATCTCATTGATAAGGAGCCAGAGTAACTGAGGAATGAAATCAAATAAGTTTGTAAGGATGGATATGAAAAGAGGAGGAGAAGGACAAAGATGAAGGTGTCGTGTGTGGAGACAAGATGTGTATTACAACACTCATTATAAGCTTTCTTTAAAATCAAATGTTTACTTAACCAGACAGTGATTTAAATTCTTTTCTGGCTTTGCAAAATAATATACTGAACTGTAAATGAATAGGGTGGGTTCATGCAGTAAGAAACACACACACATACAAACAAACATAACCCCTTAGGTTAACATTAGATAAGCTTAGCACGTTATGCAGGCTAATCTTTAGCCTGACATGGTCAAGTATGCTGTATGAATACAGCAATAGTAAGAATGTTGGGATGCCACAACCAAGTAATTTCTAAGAGCCAAAGGTCTGTCCATATATAAGGGGTATGTCAAAAGACTAGAGCTGCGTGAAATTGTGACATGATCCTTACCTGTGGCAGTTGCAGTCCAGACTTAGATAATGTCATCCATGAATTCACACAACAGGTCTGACAAACTTTCATTGTAAAGTGCATTATTTATATACATGGTTTTTAATACATTTTGTTCATTTTTATCAGATAACAGGGAATTTATTTATTTATTTTATTTTTATTTATTTATTTTGATTTATATCCCGCCCTTCTCCCAACGGGACTCAGGGCGGCTCACAACATATTTAAAAACATAGACATATTTACAACCCCCACCAGATAAAACCAAATTAAACCAATATTTAAAGTTGTGCAGTTAAAATTATTCTTAAAAAACCCGATTTAAAATCCTCCCTAGGCCAGGCCCGCTTGCTGAAAAAGCCATGTCTTGAGGGTGCGGGGGAAAGTAAGGAGATCCGGAATCATCCGGATCTCGGGGGGTAGTTCGTTCCAGAGGGTGGGGGCATTTGCTTCTGATCTTTTTCTGGATTTGAGGGCTCCTGCAGCGTACAAACTTTTTTCTGGAGCATGGAACTAGAAATGGCTGTGATGTGGAGGAATTGGCCAGACCATTATATGAGATAATTTAAAACTATTTAGAGCCTAGAAAACATTGTCTGAGCCATTCTGTGTTTTAACAAAGTCATACATTACTGGTATCTACATACCACAATGGTTAAGATCATACAACAAACTAAACCATGTGGAAAGAAGCAACATTTTGGCTTAAGCCTTAGTGCAATGTGTCCACAAAGCAAGTGAGGATCAGATGGAGCACAGGAGAGTGCAGAGGGAAAGATGGATTGGCTGAAACAAATTTCAGAATATGGATAGATGAGTAACTTCTCTTGGCTTGTATGGCAGCGTATACTTCCATCCTTGCATATAACATTGTCTTTGGGGAAAATATAGTACTCCTCTATTACAAAGGCATCAACTGATCAGAACCCTGAAGTTTCATTTCTACAATTCCATTTCCTGAGGTCATGTTAAGTTTCATTCATTAATAAAAGCTTCCCAGTTTCTCTCAGGAAAGAAGCTTACCAGACCTTTATTAGGACAATCCAACCTTCTCGAATTCCTGAAATTGAATCTCCATTTGCACAAAAATTGATTTACATAAGACTTCCCGTTTTCAATCAGGCCGGAAATGACAGAGGAGCTTTGCAGTTTAGCACTTCTGCTTCTCAATAACAAAAAGGAAAGATGGGTCCTTCATGCTTTCTCGGCTTGCTTGTTTTCTTGCAGATGTTTCATTACTCAAACTATGTAAACAAACTAGATAAAAAAAGAAAGAAAAGGGGACAAAAGAAGTAAAGGACAAGGAAAAGATGGACGGAATGCAAGGAAAGGATTCTCGATGTAAATTGTGTATTTTCACACTTTCATTCTTCAGCAAACTCTCTGGATCTCAATGCACCAATTATTCAAATTCTAAATTTGATTTGCTTGTGTATGAAAACCAAGGGATGTATTTTAGCCACCTAAATTCAAACCCTACTAACTTGGGAATACATGGGATGGAATCACTTCCAGAACTCTGAGGAATGTGTAATTTGCAGCAGGTGGTTTGTTACAGATTTCAGGGGAAGAAAGCTGAAGACAAGATCCTGAATCAAACAAAAGGTAATTTGTCAGTGTCGGCTCTTTCCCCGTGGGCTTCGTTGTTTTGTGCTCTACTTGCATATATGGCAGCTTGGTTTTAGGACAAAAGTAAAGCTAGCACTAAAATGTAGATCTTGGGAATGAGAGTATGAGCTTCTGGAAAAAAAATTTAAAATGTGTACTTTAACAGCACAACTACAGAGTGCACAATCCTACATAAACTGAAACAATCCATGTATCCCAATTCCATTGTCATAGTATCTTTTGCTTTATAAGAAAAAGAGTGGAGAAGATCCATTTTTCTGTGCCCCATTCTCTCCAATTATTACTTAATTAGATACAAGCAGAATTAAAAGAAAAAAAATTGAAACACACATCACCCTAGCCTGGTGTTATGCACTGACACCAGCTGAATTAACAATTGGAGGGTCAACATTTGCAAAAGTAAGGACAAAGCTTACAAGCTTTTGGATCCAGCTAGCAACAATGTGCACCTCAGGATAACTTTAAACAATTGCAATTAACAGGCTAAGACAAAGGATTAAAATTAAAAAATGAATCATGTGGCGCTTGCAGCTTGCTTGTAGAACAGCAGTAAGCCAACTTAATCCATTTTAATTCAGAGAGGGAGCAAAAACAAAAAACAAAAAAACCAACCCAACATCTCCTGGTGTAAATGAAATAGATTTGGGGAGGAGGGGGTCGAGTTCAGCTCCTGAGAAAGTGCGATACACTCACCTGTGACAATTCTTTTCGGGAATAATAAAGTAAGGGAAGTCTCTTAAGAACTCTGAGTGACTCCGCAAGGTCCCGAGAGATCAGGTGTCAGAGTTGTCTATCAGATGCCTGAAAAGAAAAAAAAGGAAGCATTAATGCACCGCTATTGTGAGACAGTTGTCATTGACTGATCAGGCTTTTTAAGCAAGCTTTCACAGTCAATGAAACCACCTGAATAGATGAAAGCCAGACAGCTCCTGACAAACAAGGGACTGTGGAATATTCATTGTGCATCTGTGAGGGAAAGATTAATGTATTAGAAATTAAAATGGGACCAGGACGTATGATCTTGCTCTAACACTTGGCCAGACCTGTGTCACCCATTGCTAGTGCCTGAAGTCGACAGACAATTCTGCCAGGGTAACTGAGAATCATTAAGCGTCCTGCTATTGTGTGTGGTGAATAATAAAACTTTCCCCCATTCTTCGCCTGGAACCGACAATGAATAATTCGGGAGCTATTTGCAATGTTAACAGCACCTATCTTGCCCATCCATTCCTTTACGATAAGGAAATATGCATTTCAACAGTCTGTACAGATACC